AACCAGTGTTTTTGGAATGAAAAAAAAAGACAAAATTTGTCAATTTTAGACAGACTCTTCTTTTTCTTAAAGTTATGATAATAGCAAATGATTTAAATGAATGTAAATTTTATTTGTTTCATTAATTTTCAAATTATGTGTGAAATATGAAAGAAACATACTGTACACAGCAATAACACGCACCAAGAAGCTCAAGCTTTTGTTTTTAACTTGCGAAATTTTTTCTAAGTAATCATAGAACTTAATGAAATTTATTTTTGAAGCAATATTTAAAGGCTGTTTCACATTAAATTTTAAATTTGAAGTTTGATAGAAAACAAATTTTGATTCTCTAAATTTTTATGGGGTCTATGATAAATTTAATTTCGAAACAATTATAAAAAACTAAATAATATTTTATGTGAGTTTTTATAATATGTCGTAAAGCTAAGTTTAAAGACTATCAAGGCAAATTTAAATCGTTCTAAACAAATTTTTATGTTTTAAATCGTGGTGTAGTCAAGTTATTATCTGGGAATATGCTGGAGGAAACCAATTTCTAGCTTTTAAAGTCCTAAATAAGTATTATCTCTCCATCCCTCTAAATAAAACTTCTTTTCTTTATCTGTCTGAAAATTAATACTACAGCTGTGTTTTTAGGAGGGGAAAAAATCATTGGTATGACCAACATCCAAAAGATATCTTAAAATGAGACAGTCATCCCCAAATTTCCCTCTTTCGATTTCTCTAAAGTCTTCACGCAAATAACCTCCAGGCACAAAATTCAATGAGTAGACAAACAGGGTAAGCGTGAATACTACATCAACCAACCTAGTCCGGAACTTAGCAAGGTCAACGAACAACAACCCGTGACCTCAACCAGCACAGGGCGTAAACAACCCCCCTATACTCCCGCCAGGTATGCCCGAATATCCCCATCGCCCCACGAAAAAAACAGGTATAAAAAATTAAAGACTTTTTTTTTCTTTCCTATCTCTGTAACTGCTTAAGAGTGGCCCGACAATAACAGGTTGACTAAACTTATGCAGTTGTTTACCTGAAGCTGCGTTGAGGTAATAAAAAAAAGGGGGACTCGGGGCCTCTTAAGAAAGGAGGTTAAAAAAACGTCTAGAGAGAGATGAGGAACTGATTAAAAAAAAAGAATTAGGATTTCTTTTCTTCAAATTTATTTATTTTTTGGAGAGGGAGTAAACTTTGTATCAAAATATTTGAAGTTACCAGTGTTTTACATCAAATGAAATCCGTAGCAGTTTAATTTTTTAAGGGAAAAAAAAAATGAAAAGAAATGGTGAAAGGCTAAATCTGTTAACCTATCATAAATGCCCAACCTAAGCAAAGTTGAATGAATTATTTAATTTTTTCTATACTTAAAAAATTGGACATTTTACAAGAGCAATGATGTGATAAGAGCTAATATTTCATGTAAGATATCTAAAATTAAGTTTACATGAATTTAAAACATGATTTTAAAAAAAACAAACTCTTTTGTAGTTTAATAAAGCAATTAAAATTACTGTCCACTGTTTTGAAAAAACCTCGCATGCATTTAATTTGATCATTGCATGAATTTGATTTTTAACTAAACGATTTAAAAAACAGATTTTATAAGCATCTCAAGGAATCGAAACAAAAAAAACTTTTATTTTTCTATTTCTGAAACAGCTTTAAAAATAATTGTGTATTTCATTAACTTTGAAAGAGATTATAAGCAAAGAGGGAGCTAATAATTGAGGGACTAGAAACATTTTAAACTAGTTTCCACGGGAATGCTTTTAAAATATTGTTGGTTTGTCAATTTGATTCGTTAAAGTGAACATGTTGCTATCTTGGGAACTAAAATACATATAAGAAAAATGTAATCACGACAAAGTTATTTTCTTCAAACATACAGCTAACGAAGAATCTATCCACTGTTCTTACGATTCATCAATACTCGCGAGACATTTTGATGTTTGTGAAAAACATATTAAGTTTATCTAGTTAATTCCAGGAGGGAATCTTTGATGTCTGTCGCCATTTTCGAATTTCTCTCCCTCCCCTTTGCCATTTTTTCCCTTTTTGCCAGCCCCTTCATTTTCTACAACTCCCTTTTCCCTTCCCCTCAATGTCAAAGTAGTATTGGGAATTCGTACATTTTATCCTACTTACTTTAAGGTTAGTAAACGAGGGAGATAAGTGCTTGGAGAGTGGTGGATGCTTGCACACTATTTGCGGATCAATACATGAAAACTAGAAACTAAAGTGGCATGCTTTTACCACTAGGAAAAATATTCTTTTTACTCATAATTAAAAATTACCCAATTTCAGTGTTGGACAGTTTAAAAAAAAGTAATTGTTATTAAATGTTTTAACTGAGAAAACTAATATCATTACTACTAAAAACAAAAATTTCCAAACATTATATGTCTAAGCTAATTTAAATTTCGAAAGAGTGCAGAAATGTACACTATTTTTGAGTATACTCCCTAACAGGAGTGGGGAAAGAAAATGACCATCAGTCTTGGACAGCGAGGAGAAAAAGCCTCACTATGCATTTGTTAAAAAACAGCTCTTCCCTATCCTTATATCCCTTTGTGCATATAATTCGTTGCCAGGGTAACGGGCGTAAAATACATTTACGGGTGCGAAGATCCCGTTTATACTGGACAGATATTTTAGGTTGCTTTCTAGTAAAGAAAGAGTAAGGAAATTAAGGATTATTATTTTACGTAGTTATTATAATTAAAAATGCTTTTAGATAACATTATATGTTAAACAAATTATATTTGTCGATTTGACCAATTGAAAGAAATTAATAAATTAAACTACAAATATATCTCTTTAAAATAAATGCTAACTTTTGAATTTAAGTAACTATATACAATAAGATATTTTTACTTGAGTAAAAAAACATATTTATACATATATTTATCTATNTTTCAAAAATGAATTATGTATATATATATAACATGCATTAATAAAAATTTAAAACAGCTGACTATCTGTGATTAATAAAATAAAAAATAATAATGCTTTATCCTAGTTGAGTTGGGGAAGAAAAAAAAACTGGCAGGAACATGAGCTGTCAAATCAGTTCAATTGCAAAATCTGCTAACAGTTCTTTAAAAATAAGGAAAATATGATAGCAAAATGTATAATTAATAAAATTTTTATTTTAAAAAATTGAAAAATAAACTTATAACTGTTACCAGCAGATTTTGGATGATAGAATTAGTTCGATTAAATTGTTATTTTTATGAATAATAGCGGTTACGAAGTTACGGTTACAAAATTAGTAATCTTTAATAAACCTTTTAATGCTGTAATGACATATTGTTTCATTTGCTGATTCTATGATTAAAATAAATTTTCGTTACTTGATCGTTTTCAAAAATAAAATAAATGTTAAAAAAAAGTTAAAGGAAATGAAGTCATTTCTTTTTATCAAACAAAAGCTAGCTAGAAAACATAATTTTTATATATACATTATATAATAAGTGTTTTAACAATAATGTGATAGTATTGAATTTATACTCAATTTTGGTTTTTTCACATCCATTTTAAAAATTTTTGAATTTTTTAAAAAAAATTTTTAGTTTTTGAAAAGTTTTATTCATTAAAATTAGTTCCTGAGTTCATTGAAACACCTGATATTTCAATATTTTACTTTAAAGAAGAGAAATCTAATACACGTATTTAAATACTGATCATTGTTAGTTAAATCATATGATTAAATAATAAACATTGAGCTAAATATAATAGTAAAGCATATGATTAGACTTCACATTAAAATTGAGCTAATATCTTGTTCTTCTCATCAAATATAAGTGACCAAATTCAATATATTCAAGCATTAAAAGACATTTTTTTGCAACATTGAAGTTTGAAGTTAAAAAGTAAAAAAATAGGGAAAAAAGGAAGTTTAAATAGTTAATATTTTGAAATTCATAATATATCACCCATAGAAATGGCTAAAGAAAATTAATTTATTGAAGAAATCGTTTACATTATTTGAATATTTTATAAAATAAGAATTAATTAATTTAGTATTTCTAGAAATAAAAACCTAACAGCAAATATAAAAAAGTATAGTCACTTATTTATCCGAGTCAAAACCGAACAAGTATAAAAATGACTTTTATCTTTTAAAGACTATTCAGGTACGATGCTTATACTTTTAGTAAAGATAAAAGTTTTAAAATATGTTTTTGCTTTATCTAAAATAAATCTTGTGTATACTTAATAAAAATATTATGAAGAAAAATTTAGTGCTTAAAAGCTCATTCCAAACTGGATATTTTAGTTTAAAAGAGCATTTGCGTGACATAGATAACGAATAAATTTCAGCAAGTATTACAGTATATACACATTTGCTGAGAAAAAGAAACGAAATAATATTGTCTTAAATAAAAGAAGTCTTACTTAAATTTCATTGTTATTCAACAGTCAGTAACATGATAAGTGTTAATAAACAAAACAAAATATTTAAATATAAATTACTCTGAAAAATAAGCATATATCGTAATTCATTTGTCATAGGAACTATATAGTATTGACTTTAACATTCAACAACATAAAAAATGAAGAGAAATTCACACTTTTCACAAACATGAACTTTGGAGCAAAAGAACACTTGAAGAATAAAATGTACTGAACCTTATATTGTTACTTTGCTTTCAGTGAATTTATAATATTTATAAAAAAGAATCCCCGTACCGTACCAGTTACTTTTTTAAACTTGGTACAATATATAAATCTTTAATTTACAAGTTGATGGAGACAAAGTTACTTGTTACATTGATATTTGTATTGTATAGATAAGAATGTATGTAGCGAAAAGCAGAGTAAAAAAATTAAAAGGGTAATTAGATACTTTTAACACGTTTACTTAAAACACGTTTAAAACACGTTTAAAAGCCGTATATCTATTTTGTTCCCATCCATTTTTATTACTTTTTCTCAGGTGTTACTGATCGATTATGAAATATTATAAATGAATGATGTATAATACATTTTTTAATTTAATGCAACAGTTGAATGCGTGCTTATTTTCGATACATAATATTTTAAATTTGAATTAAATATGTAGATTCGAATTTTAAGCAATTAGAACGTATTGATAAAAACAGGTTTAAAAAAATATATGAAGTTAGAACGATTAGATTTATATAATTCTTATTTAAAGGTGGTTTTGTATTATGATTTTGCTGGCTTTGTTTAGCTTTGTTCCTAGATAAGAGTTGTATTTTGTTAAATTAATAAAGATGTATTTTATTCAGGCCTTAATTGAAAAGTGCAAAATTGAATACGTTGCAGTTCACATAATTTTAAACACCAAAAATTTATAAGCTTGGTTGCTAAAATAAAGGTGTAAGATGTAGAGCAATCGTGTTTCGTGTTTTTACTTAAAAAAATTACAGAAATTAGATTTGAATTTCACATTTATGCGTGTAATCAATTTTATGTTAATTTCATTTAGAAACATCAAAAACTGCACAACTATAAGAAAAATTTTTCGAGTTAATATCTACACCCAGTCACCTGAGAAACAATCATTGTTTTATTCTTACCCAAAATCAAAAGCGCGTCACCTTCAAATGGACAATGGCATGAAATAAATATAAATATATATTCATATATCTAATATTTTTCGTATATATATATATAAAGAATTCTCTCTGGCTAGGTGGAGGTAATAGGTTTTTAGGAAACGTGTGATTATGAAACGCAACCAGTCTCTGAGTAAGAATTTCCAACCAGAGAAAGACACAAAACTCTGACATCTTATTTCATTAATAAGATATTCTGAGAGTTTTGATTGAAGTACAAATTAAACTAATAATTTTGATTTACATTAGGAACATAAATGACTGTTGCACAATTTACTTTGCGCTGATTCACTTTCGACGTAGCGTTTTCGTTTTGATTCCCTCTATCACCGAAGTACGGTTGCTTTCTATTCTGGTTGGAAATAACAAATACCTGAGAAGTGTAAAGTTTGTAGTATATAAAATTATCTAGCAATAAATATACTTAATGAAAATCATCTATTTAATATCCAGGATATTATCTTTTTAGTCAATCATAAATCTTTCATTTGCACATTGTAAAAAAAAAATCTCTCACCAAATTTGTAAAAAAAGCCATTTCCGTTAATGTAAAACGTCTTAAAAAACTTGCCTGGAAACCCATCAACTTATCTGGTGTTAACGCATATGAGTGATATTAAGAAGCTCATTACGCTATGGTTTGGACAAACTATGAAATAAAATTTGTGCGTTAGGACCAGCGTTACACCCTATTAAACTTTACAAATAATATCCTGGTGATGTGATAGAAGTAATTCAGAGACTGGAATCGTTATCATAATTTTTCACATTCTCACCCCTTTCTTTGAGGTAGATTTATGGTTCAAGAATATTACGAAGAAAGAACACAAAGCCTTATAATTCCTGATGTTTCAAAAATGAATTCTTAAGAATTAATTAGTTAATTTTTAATTTGAGTTGGAGGGCTAGATTACTACTTTCACCTTCGCTATCATATCTGTCACCATTTCTGCGCCTTAAATCCTTTGGATGATGGTGGAAATCATCCTTCCAAGAAACTAAGCGAAGGTGAGAATGGTCGTCTTCTTCACTTTCTGAGTCCAACCCCTCATCCATACAATCATCTTCTTCGTCCACTTCTTCCTCTATTGGTTCTGCCTCCGAATCACTTTTTGAATTCGATAAGTCTAACACGACATCCAATGATGAATGAATATTTGAAGAATGATAATTGTTGTTGTTTTGTTGAGGTATACGAGGCACTATTACAGATACAGAATTGCTTGTAACAGAAGACTGAACTGTCATATCTATGGGGCCTGTTTGCACTTCTTCGTAGTATCTGCCATTCGAGTTCGGTCGCAAGGGAAAATTAGATATATGTCCCAAAGTAAGATGCATCATATGCGCGGCTTGCATATGAGCCGCGGGTGGCTGTATAGGTGGAGAAGTGGGAGAATTACTTCTCTTTATTACAGAGGTTAAACTTACAGGAGGATGAGGGGTAAGATCTGACAGAGGTGTCGATAGTCTTTCTTTGAGGACTGGAGACAGTATAGGAAGAGAATTGGGCAACGGCGTAGGAACTTGGTCATATGCTCTTGGACGACGGCCTCGCCTTGGTCTTCCAATATTGGCTTCATCCCTCGGACATTTGTGATGAACTAAATGATGCCTACGCCTGAAGCGACCCGAACACTTTTTGCAATGAAATGGTTTTATTCCCTCATGGATAAGAAGATGAGCTTTCAACTGATTACTGTCAGAAAATCTTGAGCTACATAAAGTACACGCATAAGGTCGTTCGCCTGTGTGTACTCGTAAGTGCCTACGGAGGTTCGCAACCTGAACAAACTGCCTGTCGCAGTGACTGCAATGGTACGGTTTTTCACCCGTATGGAGACGCATATGTGTCTTTAAATGATGGTCCCTTGTAAATCTCTTACTACACTCTTTGCATTCAAATGGTTTTTCCCCAGTGTGAGTGCGTTCATGATTTTGAAGTACGTGTTTATAACCAAAGGCACGATCGCAGATCTTGCACATAAACTGTTTATCCCGATTTTGACCTCCCTCTGTTTTGATACCCTTTCCAGTTAAATTAGAACTAGTGGAGTGTATGCCACCAACAATAGATTCACCGTTGTTTCCCGGACTTCCACTAGATCCTCGACTCCCATCTAAAAAATTACCAAGAAGTGCATTCGCCAAAGTTGTGCCGTTCATGGGAAGATTCCCATGTTCGGTTTTTATTGATGTCGAAGTTAGTGATGCATTATTCTTCTCAGCTTCATATGTAGCAAGGGCTGTAACACCCATGGATGGAGGTCTATCTGAAAGTATTCTTCGCGGCTGGCTCGATACCATCGACATAGATCCATTGACTTTGCCATTTGACACTGTGCTGTCGGCATCCCTAGAAGTGGGGACGTCATCACAACCAATGTCCCCTTCCGATCCTTCTTTCATTGTCACTTTTCAGCCAGCCGCTTACGCCTCACCTGCAAATAAAAAAAATATTTGTTATGAAAATTGCAGTAAATATAAGCCGTATGTCAAAATGAGCTTTCAGAAAGCAAAGTTAATTTTTCAAAATATAGTAACTGAGGAAAATACTATTATAAACTTAGACTCTCAAACTTAAAAAAGGGAAGGGTTAATACTCGTCTAAAGTATCACTGTAACACCAATGTGGTAATACTTTCAAGCTCTACTTTGTGGAGTGCTTAGAGAGGAGCTCAGGCTCACTTTCAGAGGTTCTGATCGAACCCGCCCAAACTGGAGATTTAACATATCAGATAAAGGTTGAAATTCTCGAAGATTCTAGGCTAAATAAAATATATACTTCTTGAGATTACTTCTCTTCGGATCATGAGATTTAATACTCCTAAATTGTTTATACTTAATTATTGGACAAAACTAATATTTGTACATTTTGAGCATAGCAAAAAAGTTTATGAGGCAGTAAAAAAGTATCTGAAAGCTTTTTAAAATGCCTGAGTGAGTTGATCCCCAAAAATTGATTGTAGCCAATAGGTTAAGTTTGTCTCTTCTCAATTATTCTAGGCTCTTTTTATAACAGTAATTGAAACATTATTTAGATTTTCTGCAGTAATATTAATTTGTTACTTGAAAAATGCTTCGATGCGTCTTAATTTATCAAACTTAATGTTAAATATTGAAAAAAAAAGAACTTAATATTTTAAACATGCAACTGTTATTTTATTTTATTTTTCTTTATAACCGTCGTTGAACAGTCGACCCAATTTTATGGGTTTACGACTACTAATGTTCAACTCCGTAGCCTTGAAATTTTGAACCCAATCCAGAAGACAAGGGGACCCCGGGATCAAATATTGGGAGAAATTTTGCTTTCGTGGAGGACTTTTTGATGGAGCTAACCCGCATTGCACAAGTGTTTGAAGATTACGTGTTTTTGTAATATATTTTTCTAATTTAGACTTACTTTAATATATACAGTACCCGGCAAATTATTAGACGCACTATATGATTCTATGTAAAATCTTAATTATCAGGTGATACAATACAGCTTTATTGTTTTTAAGCGACTGAAACTGGTTTGCACTTGTTTACTTACGTNATATTTTTCTAATTTAGACTTACTTTAATATATATATATATACAGTACCCGGCCAAATTATTAGACGCACTATATTATTCTATGTAAAATCTTAATTATCGGGTGATACAATACAGCTTTATTGTTTTTAAGCGACTGAAACTGGTTTGCACTTGCTTACTTACGTTCGTGTATCAATTGGATAAATTAGACGATACATTATATAAATATTGAATACTTATTATATAAGGCATTATATTGTAAAAATTAGATCGAATTATTAGACACACTGTAGTTTTTTAATAATTACATGTTTTGCACGAGTTTATATGCAATACTTTTATATTTAAACATATATGTAATGGGTTTTTATTCAGGTGATTTTTTACATACTTCCTATTTATATTTATTTTTAACGTATAGCATTACAATATTAACCAATTGATATACGAACGTAAACAAGTGCCAACCGGTTTCAGCCTTGTAAAAACAATAAAGCTATATCACCAGAGAATTAAGATTTTACACATAATCTTATAGTGCGTCTAATAATTAGGCCAGGGACTGTGCGAGGACTGTGTGTGTTGAACATAATGCTAAATAAAGCTTTTCTATTATTAATGTGACGCAAAAGTTTATTCGAAATATGTTGTTACATATTTTTTTTAAAAAATAGGATTAGAGTAAATTTCTCTGTGATTAAATTATTTAATCGTCAGAAATAAATAGAACAGATAAAAATATATTCATCAGCAGCAGCGACCAAGATTTAAATGATATTTTTAAAAATTGCATAATTTCAGGAATAATTAGATGTTGATATGTTGACTGGTGCTGGCAAACACAAATCGAAATAACATTAAGATCTAAAAGGCTTAAAATGGTTGTCACAAAAAAGATTTTAAGAAATTTGCAAAATTCAAAAATAAAATAAAATAATAAATAAAATTCTTGATAGTGTTGTGCGATGCATTATTATTATTTATATTTTTAATGTATAGTATAATTGATAAGTTTTTGTTGTGTATTCGTAGTAAAAAATAGAATAGGAATTAAAACATTTTGTTGTTTAAATACATTCCATCGGTTTAAATTGATAGAAATGTGTTTATCTAGAGAGCATAAAAGAGAAAATTATTACAACATGAGAGAAAATGTCAGAAAAACCCCTCAGGAAACCTAATGCCATATTACTTAATTAAACTCACTAATTAAACTTAAACAAGAAGCGTTGAAACAGTACAAACGCCATAATTCTGACAATTACTTTAAAAATAATTTTTATTTACTTGGAAATACACCAAAAATTTATTCTTGTTCAAAGTATGCATGATAGTGCCCATTAAATAGCGTGAAAAGTGAAAATTTATTGATTTTTAGCAACTGATAAAATGCGACCATTTGACGTGACTCAAAAAAATTTTATGCCTAGGAAGAATTTATTTCACCACTGCAAATTAAAATGTCAAAAACAAGTGATCTTTGATAATACAAATTCTCATTAAACTTGAATATTGATAACAGAAAATTCAAGGAAAATTTATGGAAAGAGAGTATAACGTGTTTGACATTACCACAGCTTTGCTCTGAAGTAGTATAAATATTAAATTTTAAAGCGTACCCAGTATTAAAAGCGGTCTATTTCAATGCTTATAAAATTTGTTTAGTCAGGCTTTTTTAAAATATACAAGGAACAGGGAGACTGATGAAAGAGAATATATATTTAAGATTTCAAGAATTCTCTTAAATAAGGAAAATTGAATTAGTTAACGAAGAGTAATTAAAAATTTTGCGGATTTATGAAATAAGACGATTTGCGGATTTATGAAATAATATTCATAAACGTATTTATACTTATTTCTGAAAAGAATTATTGAAATTGGATAACTTAGAAATCTTTTTTTTAAATCAAGAACTTGAAATTGTAAAGCAACTAAAAAGCGAAAAATATAAAAAAAATTATGGCAATTTTTCTTAAAATTATTATTATCATTTTTAACTAAAGGGATCTACTATGAACCACTTGTTCTCTTTTAACTTTTAAGACAAGAAATACCATTTTTTCGAATGAAAAATATGCTTAAATAAAATTTAATTCAAACACGTATTCTTTACTCAAAATAAATTCATATATATATCAATAGAAAAAGAAGTGCTTACTAAAAATAAGGTGGATATTAAAAAGTGTGGCTCAATATTTTGAAATTTTAAACTTATGCATTGTAAAAAATACTGAGTAAATTACAGTAAAAAGCACTGGTCCCCTGAGTCCTGCTAAAATTCAATTAATTTGAAGAAGTTGAGGTCTCTGACCCCCCATATGTAGTAAATATATTATTTAAATGTAGCATATTCATATCTAAAAGCTAATATCATTTTAGTTGAAATGATATTTGACTTAGTTTATTTCATCAATTCATGTTCGATAGAATTTTACAAATAGCTTAGAACAAGTATCTTTGGCAATGAATATTAAAAGTATTTTCTCTGTAAATGAAAATTTTTAATAAAATTACAAAACTAATAATCTTTATGGCAAAAATGAGGGTATTCAAAAAATTGAATTAGCTCTTAAAAGTAATAAGTTCAATGTTTGAAAAAAAGCGAATCTATTAAATATGTAATATATATTGTAATATATATTGTAATATATATTGTAATATATATTGTAAAAAAATGTAAAAAAATCTAATATATATTGTTGTAATGACAACAGTCTGGTAATATGGGCCATTATTACTAGAAGACTATTAAAATACGATTACTGGTAATCAGAATCTTATTAATAATCGTTAAAAACAATATTAAGGAATTCAAATAAAAAAATTTTTTTACAAAATTTTACATGAAATCAATATAAATAAAATTGAGATTTTTTTATTCTGTGTTTTGAATTGAAGAACAATTTTCAACAAGCATCTAATCTTTAATAAAAAACTAATTTTATTTCATCTTCACCCTACCTTTTACTAGAAAAGTAAATCCAGAAGAAAAAAAAATGAGCATAGTATTTACTTTAATTTTATTTTATGTTAAATATAATTTTATATAATTCTTTTCTCTTAGTTACTAACTTTTAATTCTTATTCATGATCTATGTAATCTTTTTCTATAGATGAATGGTTCGATTTGACTATTGAATATACACACGCTTATACACTGAATTCAAATATTTTAATACTAAGTAATTGTTATATTATACTATCTTTATATCACAGTAAGTATTTAAATCTCATAGAGTCACCATGATTTTTATGATGCCACTATGATAGCCACATTGAATGGCCTTACATTTTACAACAGATGAGATTGCGACAATATAACAATGAGTCTCATTTTCAAATTGTTCAGGAAAGCGACCTTCAAAAGCATTTTTGGTGGGAGAAAGAAACACGATTTCCATATGCACAATAAAATGTTAGAGTATTGTACTGTTATTATACTGAAATTCTGGAAACTTTTAAAGCATATATCTAGAAAAAATACTAAGAAACAGTTCAATGTAAAGGATGAAAAAAATTATATCTTTGAAAAAATAAAAACTGTTCTAATTAATGTCTTTTTATACCCAATTTAGCAGTCAAAAATTAAATACATTAAAAATATATATATAAACAATAAAAACTATAACACTATATTTACAAAAAGAATTTTTACTAAGTATAATGATGGGGCAAACAAATTGGATGTTAGCTAAATACTTTAAAAATATATGTGTTTTTCGTACTGTATTTCAAATTCAAAAATTTGAAATTTAAAAAAAAAATTAACACAATACTGATTATAAAGAACAAAACTAGTATTTTGTAAAGGAAAAACTACGGAAGTTAATTCTTTTTTGTTTAAAACATCTGTCAGGTTGTATTTGTGTTATTGTTAGATATGACTAGCACTAAAATTCAAGAAACTTTTGCATAGAAA